GAGACGACGACGTAGACGACGACGACGACGACGACGACGACGACGACGACGACGACGACGACGGACGAGACGACGAGACGACGAGACGAGACGACGACGAGAGAGAGAGAGAGAGAGAGAGAGAGAGAGAGAGAGAGAGAGAGAAAAAGAGAGAAAAACAGAGAGAGAGAGAGAGAGAGAAAGAGAGACAAGATGAAACAAGGATCTGAGGGATGGAGTTCAAAGGCAATATGATGGGGAAGCAAAACCAAGGAGGAAGACCAGAGGAGAAAATCTCCCTGATCCGTCACAATCTATGACTCAGGTGTTATCAAATATGCTGTATAAGGAAGTACACTTGTATGAAAAAAAGATGGATCATCATCCAACATGATCCTTTTCTGATATGAGCATCTGCAGCCCGTGTTTGCCTAGTTACTTGACACGATAATGCAAAAGGATGAGGAAGCAAAAAGAAGGACGAAGAAAGGAGGAGAGTGAGGACATCAGCGCACTTACACACAGGCAGAGTTCAGAAACCCCAGAGGCCCAGGTTCCTCGTAAGGTGGCTCATCAAATATGGAGGCATATCAAGGTTGTGTGTTTGCTCTGGTAGCTACTGTTCATCTTCTCCTTCGCTCTGTGTTCTCTCGCTTTTCAACGGCCTCACTTCTTAACTCTTTCCTCCCTCTCTTGCTTCACTTCTCTTCTGAAGCACTGCTTCCGCTGTGTGGTCACTTTTCTTCAAACTCAATTAATGAAAACTCAAGCATTCTTAAGAGTATTTTCCAAATATACAGAGCAGCAAACAGCCCTTAGAATGAAGAAGAAAACCCCAAATAAACCCAAAAGGAGGATTTATGAGTATTTAATGTCCCTTGTTTAAATCTAGCCAAGAAACTATTTTGCAAGTGTCTTTTAATCTACCCATGATTCCACTCAATGTGCACATACTACTATCAATAAACGGTAAAAATCATCATAAATAAAGATTGAATAGAGGGATAATACGGTATAATAACCAAAAAACCTTTAGATTCAGACGACAGATGTATTCCCTTCAAATGTTCACTGAGCACAAAATCAGATGGATGTGATTCGATGAGGTAACGGACCAATGGGAGAGCACGTCGTGAGGCTACTGGCACATGATCTCACTTTCATCCTCGCCCTAAGCAGGTTTAGACAGCTGAGATCGGCCCGATGCTAATCTGCTCTGCACCAACTGGACGTGCTGTAGCTAATGCAACACACACACACACACACACACACACACACACACACACACACACACACACACACACACACACACACACCACTTCAGGGGACATTACATTGACTTACATGCATTTCCTGGAGACTTATCCTAACCTTAACCCCTAATCCTAAACCTAACCAAGTCTTCACCCTAAAATTAATGATTCCCCTCATGGGGACCTCCAATTTGTCCCCATAAGGGAAGCCAGTCCCCACACGTGACTGTGTAAACAGATTTAGGTCCCCACAAGTATAGTAATCCTAGGCCACACACACACACACTTTTTCTAGGCAATGAGCATTTAGAGTAAGAGAGGTACATTTGACAAACACATCTTTGAACTAAGACTCAAGTTGCTCTAATGTGAGCTACACAAGTTGTCAGAAGAGTTTTGTAACAGAAAACGCTGTGTGTGTGTAACCTAAAAACACAGTTTATCCCAGAGAAATCCGTTGTTTTAACCCTTTTCTTCAGCACTTGACCTGACATCTGATTTATGTAAAACAGTTTTTCCCAGAGCTTGAAAAATATTCATTTAAAAAAAATAAACAGAAAGCTTTTAAGATGTTAAGGCTCATGCACTCTCATAGACAGACTGGGTTTGACAGTACATGGGCAATCAAACACACATTCACACTCAACTGCCAGAAGAAAGAGGTCATGTCGGGGGTCGTCGTCCGGGGACTTGTGCTGAAAGTTAAACATGAAATAGCTCTACACCGACACACTCCGTAACATGTGACCGAGGTCAGAGGAAGCTAAAGAGGCCGCAGCGGGGCCGTGCCCTTACTATTAAGCCGTATATACATTTACGTGCACGTAAACACACACACAGTTTTCTTACTCACTCTTTCTGTGCACTTGCATGCATTTGTCATCGAAGTAGCAGTGTTGTGATAAAGGAGTGGGCTCTGGGGGGGTTGGGGGCTCGGAGCAGGAAGCCAGAAGTTCACGGCCCGTCCTTGACCCTCCACTGGACCTTCATAGCTTGGAGTGACAGAGAATGACAAAGAATAAAAAGGTGGAAGTCATAAAAAAAGTACTGAATAGCTGCAGAAAATATGTATGAGGCACGTTAAGATATTACGTTTTTTTTTATTGAAAAGAGTGAAAAAAAATTTTAAAAGCTAGTAAGTGGATCTTAAAGTTAAAGATTATGACTAACTAAAAATATTCTTCATTGTGGAAGTTTCCATCACCACAAGTCAGCAATCTATATTTGCGAGTCTGTGTTATTTGTTCCTTTATTTTGTATTCCTTTTTCTATATTTTATGCTTTTTATTTAGTGGAATAATAAAGAAAAGGGGAAATAGAATACTTGTATTTATTTACAAACTTTCTTCAAATGGATTAAGGAAATGTAAAGCTGCATAGACAACAAGGGTAAGTTTAATTTTAGCAATAGTGTTTGTGCTTTCCGTTCTCTAGGATTTCCCTAGAAAATGTAGCAAATGTATGAATAAAGAAACCAAGGAAACCAAGAACATAGGTAACATAAACCAATGATAAGATGCCTTTCAGTGAGTTTGCTTATTCTGAATCCTCTAAATGTACTTAACCCAAACTGCAGTGTCTCTACCATGACAAACAGTTCTCTACATCCAGTGCCGCCAGGGGTCAAGTGGTCAATATCAGTCATCAGAGAGGCCTGCGCCCGATGAGCTTATCGACCCCTCAGCCTCACAGAGACATAGAGAACATACGTGTTAATTCCTATCGGCATCAGGCGTGGCGGCAGGCCCGGGGCGCAGTGGAACAAACGTTAGCTCTGAGGCCTCAACAGCACTGGCAGGATTGATCTGCTTTTACTCAGGCGACGAACGAGCTGCCAATCATAAAGCACCGTCAATACAAACACACCAGGGATGGGAGAGTGGAAGTAACCATTTCTGCCATGACAGTAGCCATTCATCTGCCCGGATCTGTCACAAGCGATCACATTGACTCAGACCTGTTTTATCAAATAAGGAAGTGGACTTTTTACTTTCAAAAATGGCATGCTGATTAAGGCTGTGTCTGTGAAACGTAAGTCTAACTGCATACAAATATTAGTGTATCAGGTGGCTGTCCCTGCAGCTGCTCACCTTTTTTCGTCTTTCTTCTCAGATTATGAGGAGGTTTAAAAAAGTGTCTTTCTTTTAAACACACTTTGAAATTAACATTCAACTTAATGTTTCAGGTTAACAAAAAAAAAACAGATGTCTATAGGAGGTGCTGTCATGGGGGGAAAAAATGACATACTCTCCTTATGAGATGACAACATATCTGCCATTACAACAAGGTGCATCCTTGTCTGCTTTACATCATAGCATACAAACATTACATATGTGAGGGGAAGTACTCATTGTATGTAATGGGCATTTTCAGACAGATGCAACAAAACATTACACCATTTTATATAATGCACAGTAGCATTTTACACTTTTGGCTAATTTTGACAAAGGTGATTCATTAACTAACATCCCACCAACTTGCTGCATTTTTGTTGTCGATTCAAGTTCTTCTGCTGCTTTCAAGTTTGGCAATCCTCTGAGAAAGAAGCTTGAGATGCAGACTGGATTTTCTGGACCGGGTACCAACCTCCCCGAACCTGAGGACGACGACGATTTTTTCTTCTTGAAGAACCATTATAATTATTTTTATCAGTGATTTGTTTTATAGATATATCTCACGGTAAGTAAGTACCGACGTAATTTACCAACTTTTGTTTCTACAAATGTGACTTTTAAACGTTTGCTGTTACATATTATCAACGTGTGGCAGCAGTTGCAATAATGCTAACCTATGCTACGAGCTAATGACGACAAACGTATTTTGCTGACAGCCAATGAAATTGCAACAATGTATCAGCCAATCAAGGTTGAGCATGCAGTGGTTTATATTAAAAACACCTAACGTGGAATTATATAGGCTTTATGTTAACGGAAACTTGCATTGAAAGAGAATACAATTGTGAAAATTAATGAATATTTTCTAGTTATGATTCGACTTAAATATGACCCAGTAAAAGTGGAAAATGAATGTGGTATAAAAATGTATCTAAATCAATGCTGTTGCTACCTTTGACACACCTCAGACCGAACAATGATTAACCCAAGCATTTAGTATACAAATAATAAAAAATAGGGTTCTTGGTCTATTAAATACACGTAGCATTAGGTAAACAAACAGATTAAAAATGGTTACAATTATAAAATGACTGGATATTTTGTAGATTGTATTGTGATCAGGACTGCAGCTGTTAAAACAAAAGGCTTAACTCCGTGAAAGTGGAAAGTAAAAGTTACCCATGGTGACCACGTTTCCCTGGTAACCATGGAACCTGTCAACACATCAGGAAAAGGGAGACGAGGGGAATGTAGAAATCGGTAAATAACTTCAGAAATCTATTGATAATTGTTCTGCTTTTTAATGTAAACTTTAATTCATAGTAAACTAGCTGCTTTTGAGCACTTTACTTTTTACATGGGCCATTTTGAACGTTACGTGACTGTATTCAAAGTCACCATCTACCCCTAGTTTCATTTGGTGCAGCAAAGTCTTTATTTTGCCCTATGTTGATACTAACCTAGCATTCACAACCCTAGTTTTTTTATGGTTTCATTTCGCAGGAAGGTGACCCACAAAGCTCCCCCAGAGGGGCAGATGTTTCCAGATGTTGGGAGCCAAGAAGAGGAGCAGGATCTGTACAGTGTGAACAGACAGGTAGGCTCAATAACATTAAGAGAAGAAAGGAGCTTAGTGGTGCAATTAAATTGACCCACTGCAATCATTTAACAAAGGGCCTACTTCTAAATTGATTAGAATAAAGGTAACAAGTCAGCATTGAAAAGTTGCGTACTCAAGGAGATTCTTATTGAGAAGAAAAGTGTTTATGTGTTTTTGAAGTTGTATCCAGTGGAAATGGTATTTCACTGTTAAAAGATGCAATGAACAGTGTAAACCTTAATCTGTAGTGTTTACAGGAAAAAAAATCTATATTTCTCATTATAAATTCATTTCATTAAAAGCACACATCACAAAATGGAAATAATCTAATAAATTGCCAGTCCACTAACAATAAATGTACGAGAAATAATGATTGCTCCACTCCAATGAATTTCCCAGTAAGCCATGCCATTGAAGAAGCATACTGTATAACTGCATGCATGTGTTTCTTCCACCAGGGTCTTTCAGCGCTGCACATGGCCTGCCTTTACGGCCAGCTGGCTACCGTTCAGCTGCTGGTGGAGTCCAGGCATGGGGGGGTCAACAGCAGCGATAATCAGGGTCGCCGGCCTATTCACATGGTCCTGTCCCCCCAGAGCTCACCCAACACCGCCTCGTGCCTCATTTGCCTGCTGGAGCACGGGGCTGACATCAACACGTAGGGGAACACTTTTTTTGTGAATAAAATGCTGTGGGCATGTCCAAGTAGCTGGATGTATCAGCTGGGTCCAATAGCTACTTATTCAAACACTAAAGTAAAGCATTTTTTAAGAAAAGCCTACAATAAAAAGTGAAATTATGATTACGATGAGCTCGTTTGATGTATATATGCTGTTGCAAGGGATAATGATTATGATTATGGTGACAAAAATAATAATAGTGATTTATGTTTGTCTTTACCAGTACCACAGATTCAGGGGAGACCCCGCTGCACCTGGCCGCCGCTGAAGGCCTCCTGAGCTGCACAGAGACCCTCATGCAGGCCGGAGCAGATGCGCTGGCCCGGGACAACATGGGACAAATTCCTCTGGATTTGGCCCGCATCTGGTGCCACAGGGAGGTGGCAAGGTAACAAGCTAGAATAACAACAGCATACAAAGTTGGTTAAACTGTTTTGGTTGAAGTTTGAGACGGACTTCTTGTGTTGTTGTGCAGGTATCTGAAAAGCTGCATGTGGCAAACTGATAAGAAGAAAGAAATGCAGGAGAGGAAGCTGGGTCAAACTTTATACATTGATCTCATGGATATGGTCAAATTAAATAAAATCAATAAAAAGGTTGGTTTGGATGTTGGGCAAATCTAATCCCTCCACATTTAGGGGTTTGCAGCATTTTTCGAACTAATCTCCATGTCTTTTTTTAGACAGTTATAGATGAGAAGATGACAAAGTGGGCGAACCAAAAAGGTCTTCCTCTCCTGAAGGAATTCTCCCCCAGAGTCTTGGTGAGCCAGTACCACACCCAGTGCCTCGGTTCTGATCCGGTTCTGAAACCCCAGCCAGGAGATCATCTGGAGGACAAAAACATCCCCACGAAGCAACCTAAAGCCTCCTCCCCTGGACCCTGGACCATCTTCACGGGTCTCCAACCAGAGAAGCCCCTCAGGGAGCCGGACCTCCGGGACAAAGTGACGGTGCTGGGGGGCAGCCGGCAGCCTCAGTACACCACCCAGTGGGACAGCAGGCTCCACCCCGCCCCCGACCTGCCTCTGGATGTCCTCCAGAGGGTGTTGTTCCCCAGAGCCTTCCCTTCCAGGATCGCCTCCCCACGGTACTTTGAGCCAAAGGACATTGTGGAGGTCCAGCACAGAGGATACCCCCAGGGGCGGAGGACCTCCCCCTGGACAGAGGTGGCCATGCACTTGGCTGAAGTGCTGGAGCCCGGACATTACTGAACATCACACAGGAAGAGCTTAAACAACACCTGCATTAGTAAATGTCTGAAAGGAATGGATGAAAAATATCCATTATGTAAACTTGATGGTAGATTAAAAAAAAAATGAATCAATTTTTGTATTTAACATGCCATCAAATGATCCGAAAAAATGTAATTATTGTGCTTAGGGGGATTCTATTTTAGGAAATGTTTTGTAAGGACATCTAGCAGTGTCCTCTATGTCATCTCACTTCGAGTTGTAACAGTCTCAACAGTAGACTTTCCCGAACACAAAATCCCCCTCCCCCTCCTAGACTTCAAGCCCATAGTGACAAAATAAAAAACGCCACACACCCCAGATGCTGCACCTCCAAACGCGGGGTGAAAGGAGGGGTGAGTGAAAGGTGAGAAAACCTCAGTGAACTGGGTCACCTGTCTCAGATGAGTCCCTGCACTTTCTCTGCTCCCCCCAGGGAACTGACTCGGGGTCCAGGTGAGGGCTTGTCAACAGCGTGTGTGTGTGTGACTTGGAGCTGTGGCCTGTCAGCTAAAGGTGTGTGTGTGTGTGTGTGTGTGGTTGTTTTGTCTTTTTAGCTTTACTTCACACCTCAGTGGGGGTCAAAGTGCACACGAGCCTCAACCTCACTGTGACCGAGACACATGGGACGTGGATAACACCAGCTAGACTGTCTGCTACACACACACATTTTTTAGGGAGTGAAGTTCAAGGCGTAACAGGAAAATCCATCTTACTACACATTGTATTTAACATTAAATAAGTGAAGATTTAATTGGAAATGTTGAGGATCTATTTTTCTGTGAAAAGAAGCATTTAATCTATCTGTTATTTCAACAAAGTATTTTATTATACATCTGTGTAGCATACCAGCCTCCAATGAATCGCACTCGGTAATTGGTAAAAAGAATGTCGGGCTCTTTAAAAGCACTTTCATCAAAAACCACTTTGAGCAGCTTTTGTCCCCGACGCACGTTAGAGTCTTCACAAGGGTTTTCATTTGTCGTCAGAGGTCGGGTTAACTCGCTGATCAATGTTTTTAAAAAATCAGTTTGTTATTACCGTGTATTTCTTTTCAAAATAGTCCAAAAAAGAACTGTAGATCTGGAAGACAAAAAAAGAAAATCTCCAACACATGTAAAAGATCCAGACTGGGAGATATTCATTGTTCATCACATTCATTTAAGGGTGTTTCGTTTATAGAAGTAATCCTTTGCAAATGCCCTTATTAAGCCATTTTCATAACTGAGAAGCGACAGGGTGTTTACATCATGCCACATCCTGTATTTAAATTAAAGCACCAGCTGATTACTTACAACTTAACTTCACTTTCTTATTTAAAGTAGTCGGGTAAAGTAGGGACTTGAGGCATTTTTCCTGCAGCTGTTATGCCACTTTAAACCAAAATGAAAGCTTGGACATCAGGATTAAACCAGAAAGTACCTTAAAGTGGCTTCCTCTGAGGAGATCTATCTAGTCGTCTCCTAATTCTGCTCTTCTGTGTTTAATCTTAGCGTGAAACCTACAACACATAAAAGACAGAACATCTCATCTCCAGGAAAAAACACAAAATGATCTATCTCCCAAGTCAAAACGTACAGGTGGGTGTTACATTTCAGACCTTTTCACAAGCATATTTTAATACCAAAGATTTAAAAAATGTCCAACATGTGAATAAGAAAGCGCTGCGCTACAGAACCGATCCCCACAAAGGGGTCTTTAGTTGATGTTGTTGGCAGTCGGACAGACAAAGAGAGAAACAAAGAGACGACCGTGGCCGGTGTAAACTCGTCCAGCAGGAAGCTCCGATCCGTTCATTGGTCCTTCCTCTTTCTTCCCAATATGGCCACTGTTTCGTTTTAGTCCCATCCAGAAAAAAATTCCTAGAGTCCTTCCTGCTTCCCCTTAATCCTCCACACACACTCACTCATACACCTCTTGACCCTGAGGCTTCCCCCCCCGAGCCCCTTAGTACATCTTCTGTCTGCTGGGCAGCACCGCCTCCTTCAGGACCGAGAACACCACGAGGATCCCAGACCTCTTCCCCCTCTTGCCCTTGGTGAAGTAATTAGACACCACATCATCTAAAAGAAAGAACAAAGTAAATTGTTATACAGTTGTTTTTTTACCTGTAGTTTTTTATTTAGTCAAAGCTTCTATGGAGGTCTTGAAAAGAAGCTTCAAGTGTGTGTTGCCAATCAATAATCACACTTTTCCAATCAACCAAAAGATTTAATGAACATGTATTTTCTTTATTAAATCAACTTGATCGTTAATTCACAGTAAAAGTGTGACAAAATAGAAGTTATGTTATTTAAAGTCATTTATGTTGCTATTGGATTCCTGCTTGTCTCCCTTTGTTAGCAGCAACCTGTTTTTGCCCACAGTGAAAATGAGTTTTTTTAAAGGCTAAAGCTAAACGCTAACAAATATGGATTGAAGCATTTGTTGGATGATTTATGTTTGGCAATATTTGTAATGATTACATGTATTTTCAATTAACTTCGACAAATGGAATTTACAACGCTTTAGAGTTAAGGGTAATATCTGGACAAGAAAAGCAGCGCAGTATTTGAATGTGACGTTATAAATGAAGCTTTCACTTTTCATTACAGCCCTACTCATTTGTTGTTTAAGATCGAGATGAAATAAACAACAGTGGTCACACACACAGAGAAAAAAAAAGCAATTGGGGATCGAACCCATGACCGAGTCTCATCATCGACTGACTGAACTAGCACGGCTAATATAAGCGCAGGGGGTCATTCCTTTAAATGACATAGACATGGTTTTCCCTTGATTACCATGACATTATAACATAGGCTTTTTAAGATTGTGTTCATAAGACTGAGGGAGAGGTTACAATTAAACATACTAAACCCACAGCTCGAATCAACAACCAACATACAGCCAAAGAGACATCAATCTCACCTCCTTGTTGCATGGTGGACGGAAGCACGTTCTCCCCCGCTGACAGGGACACGAAGAAGCCGAAGGGGATCACCCACAAGCAGATGGTGAAGTACGCCAGCACCTTGACGCAGAATGAAAGATTATGAGACTTGAGTTAGAATGGCAGACAATCTTTTTCATGGATATGGCTTCAGAAAGAGACAAAATTACCTCTGAGAAGGGATAATACTCTTGTGCAAAGAACTGGAAGGCCATATAATGGTTCACCACCACCAACACTGGAGAGTGAAGACAAAGAAGAGACAAAATGTTGGAAAACAGGATAAGAGAAAAAGACATTTGGTACTAACAGATAGTGTGGCATGCTCACCACAGGAGAGGATAAAGTTTGGGGAGCTCAGCGCGATGTAAGGGAAAGTCTGGAGGAGGCCAAAGTACACCAGGTTGGTGAAGAGGCCGACCCCCACCATCAGCACTGGGAAGCTCTCAAAGAGATAGAGACAGGCCAGCACCCCTGTGGAGAACTGGACACATTCACACACACAGGACGCCTTGTTAACAACATGGTTCAGTACAGTATATTCTTAAAAACAAGACAATTAGGAGAATGATGTGGTTACTCACCATTATCATGTACTTTATTATTCGACTGGTGGCTACTGTGTATTCTTCTATTAGTTCTGCCAAGTAGTACAGGCCAGCAGCTGGGGGAGACAATCAGAAGGGATCAGTATTCATATGAGAGTCATAAGAAACAAGAAAAACAGAGAGGCAGTTTCATCATTGGATCTTCCAGACATTTCAATTATCTCAATAAAATACAAATGATAAAAATAAATAATCCTGTTGTTCACCACGTAGCGGTACATTGCTTGTTTGTGTTCAAAATAAAAAGGTAAATCTTAAAGATGAAAATATGTTTTGAAAATGTTACCTATGCAGCAGGATTTTTTATAACTAGTTATTTTTGATACATTCCTGACTTTTTGTACCACTACCAAAATTACACTAATCACTTTTCAAAGTAAAGGCTCTTTATTGTTAAACTTACTTAACAGAACCCTTACTTAAGGAATATAAACACACATTTTCTGACAAATCTTTGGTCGCTCTCAAATGCTAGTGATATTTATTTTTTCAAAACATTGAATCAAAAGTCTATATCAAAAGATAAACTGATAAATACAGTAAAGTGTGAATCAGACCAGAGATTCAAAGACGGCTTCCAGTACCAACAGCTTTTTATTATCGGTTCTAAAGACACATTTCACTCAGTTCCCCAAAGGTACCGAGATTCAATATCTTGCCAAATAATATCAGTTCAGTCGAGTGAATGAATAAAAACACATCGGCAAAACAGACGTGACCCACAGTTCGTGAGCCCGTGTAGAAGGAAGGCCAAACACAGCCGACTGTGCGTCAAAAGCATGCACGTCAAAGCCCTGAGAAAGGGACGGCGAGTGCAAAGGCTCATGGGAGAATCTGAGGGCTTCATCACACAAAGGCAATGTGCTCTTACCAAAAGAGTCTGCCTTGCCCTTTTCAACTCCATATTTCATTCAATGTCAACTTTTTTTTAGCATTGGACAGCTGGATACAGCAAATAGAATATGAACATGAGCTGCCCCAATTTAATTTGGAAAAGTACTGCACGATTATACCGACTTAATAAAGTAAGGGTCGGGGCAATCATGGGTTGTACTGCTCCTTCACCTAGTTTTGATAACAGAGTTGCACTGTTGCAATGCTACAAAGCAGCTTATGATTGGCAATAAAGAGCCAGTCATTAATAGGAGGTGACAGAAAGCCGTTTTGGCTGGTGTTTAACTCTGTCTATTGGGTATTATTGTAAATGCTCTGAATCCATTGCTAAATGTCAAGGAAGTTCTTACATGAAAAGGCAAGGGTGCCGCATTAATGTTATTAAGTTGCTAACTGCTAAAACGCAAACTAAAATCTTGCAGTCAGAAAAAGACATCAGAATTTTCTCGGCTCATATCATGGCAAATCAAAAGCTATTAACTGATGATAAGTGAACTGTATAACATTGGTAAAAGTTTTACTAAACACTGATAAAAGGAGGTTGCCTTAGTTAATTATTTAATCTGATTCAGTTTAGCAAACAGGATAATCTTAGTTTCTTGATCCTGACTATAATCAGAATCATAGTCAGGTTTATGTATACAAAAATAGACATAACAGCGAGGAGCAAAGAGAACTAACCTGGTAGATTTAAGGTAAAAACACAAGGTTATCATACACTCAGAAAAAGTATGTGCCGAAAGTAAAAACATAAGAACAACAAAAGAAGAAACAAGTACACAACCACACACAGCTGGGCTGGAGTGACTGATACTAGTAGGGTTTGACAGTCAGCAGCCACACCTGATAGCTGCAGGGGTGTGTGTGTGTGTGTGTGTGTGTGTGTGTGTGTGTGTGTGTGTGTGTGTGTGTGTGTGTGTGTGTGTGTGTGTGTGTGTGTGTGTGTGTGTGTGTGTGTGTTACGTGGCCAGGTAACTAACTTGCAACGTGGAATGACAGACAAGCTCTTTGACAAAGTTTTGAAGCAAACCCAACATATTATCATACTGTTTGTAACTATGTGAGCCAAATGCTTAATATCCAGTTTGTTGACTACGGGAATGTCATATTGTTAACATTGTAAAAAAAACATGCTAGTTAGATTTAAAGCGACATTGTCTAGTTCATATTAGTTTACATGCTAACCTTCCAACTGAATACTGATGCTATTATATCAAATCTGTATTGCATATCAGACTTTAGGACCTCACTATTGTCATATGCTCGCTCAGGCAAGTTCTGAATAGTTTAAAATGGTAAAAAGACTGAAGAGAGAAAGCTAAATGCTAGCTTACTTAGCATCATGACACATAATTGTTTCCACATGTACAACGAAAACTACTTAAGTTTAGGACATGTCAAAAACTAACAAATACATTCTACACTTTAATGACAAGTTTAAAAAAAAAAAAGTGCTGTTGTCATTTTAGAAAATTAAAAAAGGCATCATGTATTCGTTCTTCCTGTGGTGGAAATCTTGCTAGCTTAGCAAGCCAACAGTAGTGAGGTAAACGAACACAATGTACCTTATTTAGTCATAAGGTATGATTATTATTTGTAATTGCATTTTATTATTAACAAACTTGTGTATTGCCAACATGTGCAGGGCAGCAAACAAAGCCTAGTTATTATTAAATGTTGCAGCTTCACTTACTGAAATGGTCCGCTAGCGTTATTAATTAGCTACCTAGCATTTGCATGGATTTTAAAACATGCACTTACCTATTGCTAGCGTAACGAAGGACACTTGGATGACTAGCGACAGCCAGCTGAGTAAATAAATAAACCACATCTCTCCGCATGTGCTACAACACACAACACTATGAAAAAAAGACAGAAAACCAGTAAAAGCTAGCAGGCTAGTTACTAGCTCGGAACACCGGTCAAAGTTCCTGCCTTTGTTTTGAGGAAAGCAGAGAAGAAGGGGCCTGTCTGGAAGAGGGAGAGAGGTGTTTTGATGCAGCGCCATCTTTGGTTGGAGGACAGCTGCAAGAGATAAATAATAAAGAGCAGAATTTCTCCAGGTTGTATCTTATTCATCGACAATTCCGTCATGTGAAATATCATTGTACCAAACTCTGCAATTATCAATGTATGTTGTTGCACTACTATCCCATTCATTCACCAATTGTATACGCATCTTGTGGACAGCAGTGCTCGAAGCTCAAACCTTGCATTGATGTATTGAAAAAGCTTTACCTCCTTTTGACACTGAAACATAACTTAACATCCTGATTAATTCAATGCAGGGCTTCACTATGGGAGCCCATTAAAAAAAGTCCTACTATGTTAAAAGTGTGGTTTACCAAGCCAAAATATGGTACCCAAAAATAAAAATGGTGTGGTGGTTTAGTCACTTGACAGTTTGAGGAAAAAATAGCTTTTCAACACTTAACATGATTATTTTCATAGAAAGTGAAACTACGGGTGGGAACCTGAAAAATCTCTCCTTCAAAATCAAACAACACAAAAAAACTCATCTTGTTGGACTTGTATGGTAATACATGTGTAACATTGGTCTTGTTGTCATGTATTTTCTAGGCCCTCAGTATGCTCCTATTGGTTTCAGGAATTGTACCTTTAGTAAAGGTTGTTGGTACAACCCTATTTTCTTACTACTAAATAAGTAGTGTCTTTTTATTTCTTAATGACCCTGGGAGATATAATGTAAGATCATCATTCAGGAAAGGATGGGGGAAACCATACAGGGCAATATTATAAAGATTCACAGCAACTTCATGGGTGTCACTGGTGTCTCTAGTCAACACATCTTTCCTGTTTCTATCAGTATTCTCAGATATCCAGTATCAGTTTCAGAACCTCTCATTACTTTCATGTCTCCATTTACTGCTATTTCTCTCATACACACTTTTGGCTTTCATGTGCATTGATTCAATAACAGAGGGTAGAATACCTTACTGCATCCCAAAGCCAACACCTCTGAGACTGAGGAGGGAAACAATAAAAAATGTATGCTGAGGAGTGAAAAGGCAGACCTTCTAGCAAAAAGAGCTAAATAAAGTAAATATATAATGTGAAACAGTGTGAAGACACTAAAATGGTGTCGGAGTCAAAGGTGAGAGTAATTTCATCTTTTCAAATGCTTTTAACAATGACGGATAGGTAGATGATGTGGTGTGAGGGTACGATGTAGGTATTCAACCATGCATGCACGCACACATATATGCAGTATTTTCGAGGAGGTGAGAAAACAAAAAGCGACCTTCCGCATTTAAAGATACTTTCAGGAGGAAGCAGCCAGATCACCGGAGGCTCTTATCTCAACGACACCTCTGGGCTCGGGGTGTGAGAGCTTTAATGTGCCTAAATAAAAGCAGCCTCCAGCCTTCTGCCGGATCGAGCTTTAAGAGGCCGACACCTCGGGAGAGAAGTGGGTAAAGGCATCATATAAAATCATGAGACTTGCACTTAGATCAGCTGAAACCCAAAAGGCATGATATGGGACATTAACCACAGCTGAATGACTTTCATTTCCTTTGACACGCAACAAGTACGGCTATTTGAAGCAGACCTGGGTTAAATGGCTTTTGGTAGAAATGTTTTTTGTGGTTTTCTCTAGGTCAAAATGTGGGATTTTATAATGTTTTTCAGTGAGCACGTCCCATGTGGTACTCTCAAGACAAGTCAAATAAAATGCAGTTTTCTGACATTACACAACTCAAGTCTTTGTTTTCAAAAGAGACCAAGATCAACCCACATTTTATTGTAACTGATGAACCAAACGGTGCATAGATGTATTCATTAAATAAATCAGCCAATATGCATTCAGTTTCTCTGAAGTAAAACAAGAGATATTCAGGAAATCGCCAACAAATACAAAAAAAAGATGTCTTGCGGGACCTGCAATAACTGCAGCACTGACAATGAGGCTTCCTGAAGCTGCTCTCAGTTTTCTTGTCCAAGGATCAGTGCTGATGCTCGGATGCGGGAGTCTCTCTTCTCTCGGTTCTGCTTCAGCCTCCGGAGCACCGGGGCGCGGCTGCTCTCTCCAGCCCAGGGACAGTCTCCTGCTGCTGGGACACACTGAGCACCGGTCTGAGGCTCTGAAGGAAGAGATTATCTCCAGTTATGCACAAAACCAGACAATGAGAGAACACGGTTGTAGTTGACTTTGTTCTGATGATTAATATTGCAGAGGTTCAAATACTCATTGCGTGCAGATCAAATGCTGAACCTGGAGGGGAACTGGTGGCTACTTTTCACTTTTTATCTTTCCTTTTAAGTACATTAAAGCGTTTTTGCGTGACTTTTAAAATGTTATATGTCACCGTGCATTACCAAGTACATTTTAATGCAATTCCAATAAAAGCATGAATTCACTCACAGAAAATGGGGCATTACCTCAAAGTATAAAACTAATATCTCCAAACATTTGAAAGCTTTAACTTGCTTTCTGTTAAAGTGTATGTCGTGCTCTCGTGCTAATGACTCAAAACAGACTGCTTGTAGACACGCAAGAACCTACAAAAACCGCAAACCAAAGTCCATTGAAGAAAGGACAAAGAGGACAATGTGAGTGTACCCTGTGTTTGGTCCTGCTGGTCCCCCATGGCTCTCCTCCTCCTCTGCAGCACCTGCAGCAGCTCCGCTTCGCCAACATTTCGGCCCATTCCCCGTCTGGATGGCACTCTGCGGAGTTTCTGATGTTTCATGATGTCCTGGTGAGTATAAATGTTAAAAAGTGGAATAAATTGCTGTTTGTCAAAAGTGTTTTGCCTTTGCAACACTAATCTGAGTCCATTACCAGCATTCCTTTTAACTCCAGGATAGCTGACTTTCTGTTGTCACTCTTCTGGTCCTGCAAGAAGATTTGGGAATATTTGGGAATTCTGTGTCAACTGCTTAATAATAAAAAAGAAATTCAACAATTGGGAATATGAGGCTAACTGACCTTCCACGCACTGTCATCGTCCTGTGAGCAGAACAAGTCAGATTTTAGACGTTAGTATTTATTACTTAAGGGTTTTTTTCTTATACGAGTTTCTCTGTTCATATATAAATGCCACATAATGGGGAATGTAAATGAGCGAATACATTTAAAAAGTCTTTGTGAATACAATTGATCCACCTGTACTCTCATGATGGGCCTCAGGATGATTCCTCTTTTTATTCTCGCCATCATTTCATCCACCGCTCTCGTCTTCATGTCCAAAGGTTCTGCTTCTTAAAGATTAGAGATGGATGAAATATTTTAAAGGACTCTGAGAGCATATAATGTGTGTTTAATTTAAATAGAAGTAAAAGTATTGTTTTGAGAAACCAGAAAGAAGTTGTCATAAAAATCTGAGAACCCAAAAACATATATACATATCGGATAAATCATAGCTTCTGAGTAAAGTAAGTCTATTTGTTATCGATGCAGTTGAGTGGAAGTGTGAAACTCACTGTTTTGATCGGCTTTCCTGGCGCTTTCTTGTCTTCTGCTTCTCAGGACATCAAGTGTACTTGGCACAGAGAGGACAAAGGTGTCATATTGTCATACAATTCATGATTTAAAAGCCCAGTCATAAGGGTGTAAAAAGCCTCTGATACAGTATATACACAATGAAGAAGACGGTTCATACTTGGTTGACAGCAGACCAGAGGTGGAGGAGGTGGGGGAGGAGTGGGAGGGGAGCAGTAGTGGTTTTCTCCTTTTCTTGTTCATCCTCTTTCAGTGTATCTTTGGAAAACTGTTTCCCCATACAAACAAGAGGAGCGAAAACATTCCTGCTATTTAGTTATCCATGAGCCAAGAGACAAATCACCCAGGAAAAATAAGGAGTATTAATCATGGAATTTGCCACCAGTCAGAAGCATTAATAATTGAACTGCGCTGATCAGTACAGTGTGTTTTGTATGTTTGTATGAACCAGGAGCTTATGTCGGAAAGCTAAACAAAAAGGCTCTTACAGTCAAAGGGAACTGGAAGTGCTAAAATGTAATTCCATTACTGGGTTAGCTTACTTCCTTCACCATTGTATTAAGCTTTACTTAAGGCTTTCTTTCTTTTTTAATGACCACCATCACACATAGTGTCATTAGCTGACTGTTTGCTTCCATTTAGCATGTGTGTGCAAAATGCTCCTGTTCTTGCAGCGTACCTTCCTCCTGGAGCCGACGTGACAGTGTTGTTAGTTTTAGACAGCTTGTTCGTCACGCAAAGTCTTCCTCTCTCCTCGCTGCTCTCCGCTCTGCTTCTCAGTTCTGCAGCTAGAGGACAATGCTGCTCTTCTCCATGCGCCCTGACTCGGTTTAACCTGGAATACAGGATGAAAGAAACAGCATACAAGATGAAGACATCTAAATGACCATTTCAACTCTGTTGACCCCGCTGTGGCCACCTGGCTCCTGGTAGAGGCGCTGTCATATCACCAAGTCGGCCCTGCTGATGTGGAGAGATTTGCTCCAGTGCCGCTGCAGCTTCCAGGCCGGTGTCCGAGCTCTGGGCGTCACCACACTCGCTTGTGGGGCCGCTCCTGCTGCACCAACATCTGGGACCACCAAATTCCTATTGAGACCATCTTTAAACACCGTCTTTTATGTTAATCTGCTTCTACCGAAAATGCGGAAAGAAGAACATTAATGAAAACGGAGCCAATTTGAGCCCAGCGATAAAGGTGAGATCTGAATGGGCCTGGTTGTTGAATGTTCTCCCACACAGGAGTTTCACGATGGCAGAGGAGTGTTTTCAAACTAGTGTTGAGGCTGAACAATTACAAAATCCACTTTCATGAAGGGTACGAGCAAGACGGATGGGAATTAGCTGTGGAGGACAAAGCATTCCCTTTCCTAGTCCCATATAATAAGTGGCTTGTGAGAACAAATGCCTTATTCTCGAACAGAAGAAGTAGGGATTCTTTCTGCGCATGCCGAGACGCAGATAAAGTACACAGCTATAGCTATAAGTGCGGCTTTGAGCTGATGAATGAGTACAAGTGCAATTCGAATGTGCAATGCAACAAACCTTTGACTTCGCATGGCTTTTGAGATATCAAACATTTTTGACTGCAGACTGTTCACAATGTGGGATGATTAGCAATGTGGGAGATTGTTACTAGATATACATTGTGTAGTAATTTTGCTAACTATTTTTTCCCTATGCAGGGGAAACATGTGCAAGGGCACTTACAGACACAGATTCAGAGACAGGGTACATGCATGCAGTCAAGTAAAAATAAACAAGTGGCCTTAAAACCTTGAAAAATGTGTTGCAGTAATTGTAAGCCTTTCGTAATTGAGTTATCAACACAGAAGGCAAGTGTTATTCTGACACATTGGATTCTAAGAACGCCACTGCAGCCCACTTTGAGAGCAGGGCGGTGATCAGAGAGCAGGAATGTGAGAAAAGTGGTTTTCATTTCTGTGTTTCTACCGCGTCTGAAGCAGCAGGTTTTAGTGAGCTTGTGTCAGGCACCGCTGCAACTTACACCGCTCTATCTCGAGTCTCCCTTCAGCAGAGAGCAATCTCTCCTCACCCCAGCATTGTCAATTATTTCATACACACAAACACACAGTCAGAGGGACACAAAGGGACAAAGACTACCACAAAAAAAGCTCAAATTGTTTCCTGTTTTGAGGCGCTGCGAGTTCATTATCCACCGGCATCACAGCAGGGAAGTGTGAATGGTTGGTGTTTTTTCAAAACCATGAAACACAGACAATAGTGTGACAAGGGGTGCAGTTCAGGCGACAGGGGGTCTTTTACCATGAATTGGGTTAAAGGGGGGGGGGATTGTGTGAACGTTGGGGGTTCCTTTCACAGTAAGGCAAAAAACAAATAGAAGAAGACAAGAAAGACAAAGAAAGAAAAAAACAAACAAACAAAAATTGTCGAGACCAATGTAAAAAAAACCACAAAAAAAACAAAACAAAACAAAAAAACCCCCGCTCCCCCACCCCCCCATGCCACCACACCGCGCGCGCCCTGCGCCCAACACCGCCCCGCGCACCCACCTTCAGACCCCTCCACCCACCTGCCCCTCATCGCCCCCACAACCACTCAACCCACCGGTGCCCTCCCGCCAAGCCCAAAAGACCACGCTCTGCTGCTTTAACACACCCCCCCCCGCTATCTCCTCCCCCTCTCAGCCCGCCCACACCCCCCACCAAGCCGTCGCCCTGCACCACTCCTCTCATCGCCCAGCCGCACTCCGCCCCGCGCGCGCACCCCGGGCTACCCCCACATAAGAATGGGAAGGGAAAGGAACCGAGATGTTTTTTGAAAGAAAAGACCTTCATTTAGAGCAGGCTGGGGGGTGTGTGTGTGTGTGTTTGGGTATGTGGATCAAGTGATTGGTGTTTTTAGTGAGTTGTGTACAGTGTGTGTCTGCCTTTGTCTTGTGTGTGTGAACGCTTTGCCGCACACCAGAGCCTGGATTTGACCAAAGTGTCATCGGTGGGGAAAACAGGAGAATGGGGATCCCTTCTTCTGTCCCGCGCTCAGCTGACGCGGAGTGTGTTGTGTGTGTGTGTGTGTGTTGTGTGTGTGTGTGTGTGTGTGTGTGTGTGTGTGTGTGTGTGTCTCCCTCCATTTCTCCCCGGTCTGTACGCCATTGCTGCCCGAAGGTCAACAAGCTCCGTGGCACGACTGTCACGCCTTCGAGGTATCTATAGGTTGGATCGTGTGACAAANCTACTAACAAATACCAAAAGGAGGGAACACATTAGTCCTGTCTTAGCTACTCTACACTGGCTTCCTGTAACTTTTAGAATTTATTTTAAGGTGCTTCTCCTCACATACAAAGCTCTAAATGCACAAGGACTCAGCTACATTGCTGACTCTCTAATAAACTACACACCCGCCAGAACACTGCGATCATCAGATGCAGGTCTATTAGAGATCACCAGAAAGAGTCATAAGAAGATCGGTGAAGCAGCCTTTGTAAACTACGCCCCCAAACTGTGGGACACGTTACCCAACAATATTAGGGAAGCCAATACGTTTAAAAACCTATTTCTTTACCAAAAGCATTTGACTGATTTTACACTATTATACTGCACTATTCTCTGTGATTGACATTGCACTATTTCTCTATGTTTTATTCTCCATGTTTTTATTTTTAATTAATTTATCCCACTTTATGCTTTGCTCTTGCTGCTTGTTTTACACACGTCTTATTTCTTACTGATAGAGAACTTGCGAGAGGACTTGAGACGGACAACAGGTGACGAGGAGCCGGAACTGGAGTCGGGACCATGGCTGCTGGGGCCGGCACTGGAGCCGGAACCATGGCTGCTGGGGCCGGTACTTGAGCCGGAACCATGGCTGCTGGGACCGGAACAGAAGCCAGGACCATGGCTGTGGGAGCCGGTACTGGAGCCGGAAACATGGCTGCTGGGACCGGAACTGAAGCCGCGACCATGGCTGTGTGGACCGGTACTGGTGCATGGATCCATGGTTGTGTGGGCCGGTACTGGAGTACGAGCTGGCTTCCTGATCTTGCATTTTTTAGAGGTCTTCTGGAGGCTCCGTGGACCTCCAAACGCCAGGCGGGATCCCAAAAAAGGGTCACAAAATGGAGATTGGCGCTCAGGGCTACGAGAAAATACTCTGAGCCATTCAGGCAACGAGCTCCTCAACCAAGGCATGTCGGCCACCTCCATTTGTGCCTTTCTGAGTATAGCCTCTTTGTCCCTTCTTGACGAGGTTCCACTCCACTCGGCATGATAACATTGAAGGGAAAAATCCAGATCAAACAGATCCAACTCAAAATCATCAATGGTCAATCATCAATGCTGGGTCCATAATTGGTCGGTTCGTTCTGTTACGGTGCGTGGAAAAGGTAGGACCCAAATGCAGTATTAAAGGATTAGCGGGTTTTAAGGGATAACAAAAAGCGAGCTTTATTTAACAAAAGCCGATGACAAAAGAAACTCAGGGGAGCACGAGTAAAGATTCCAGGATCAAAACTTGAGGGACAAACATGGAGCGTGACGTGAAGGGAAAGACAAACAATGAACCGACAGGGGAACACAGGGAAAGACAAGACTAAATACAGAGAGGGGTAATCACGGGACAAGAAACAGCTGGGTAAAGGAGGGAGAAACACAAGGGCAACAGGTGAACACAATGAGACAATCAGACACACCAGGGAAACTAACGACAGGAAGGCAAACACAGGAAGAAGGATCAGACAAGACACAAGGAGGAAAACATGCAACAGGGAACACAGAACAGCAAAAATAAAAACAAAACTTAACACACAAAACTCAAATCCTGACATAACCCCACCCTCAAGGGACGGATTCAAGACGTCCCTACAAAGTCCAACATTTCCAAAACTGAGGTACAGGACCAGGCAACCCCAGGAGCGGTGATGACAAGGACGGCCAACCAGGACGGGTTGGGGTACAGCACGGCAACCGGCCCCAGGGTTGACGCTTGTGACCAAAGGGCACCCCCAGGTGACGGGTTGAGGGTACAGGTCACCAACAACCCCCAAGGCGGACCCGGGACGGTTGCGGGTTCTAGGGGACTGGACAACCTTCCAGGGTTCGGGCTGTGGACGGTAGGTGGGTCCAAAGGGACGGTTGTGGATATAGGACAGGGGACAAACCCCAGGGGCGCTGTGCACGATGGCGCTCCCCAGGCAGCTGTGGTCAGGGGAAAGAGGCAG